TTTTGAGTTAGCTGCCTACAGTTAGGTGCAGTGAAGGGTTCCCAAAAGACTTTACAACTTCATTTTCCTTTCATGAAAGATCATATGCTTTAAGGAATAGGGTGGAGTCCTGCCTTTCAGGCAAAGAATAGAAGATGCTTTAATATTTTTTTTTTCTGGCGGGGTGGGAAGTGCATACATTGCATATCTCTGAGGCATTAGCTTTGTGATGAGTGGACATAGACAAACATGCAGAATGAAGACTAGGCCAGTTCAGAACTCAGGACACAGGCCAATTAAAGTGCAACTGCACTGAAACTTCAAGCAAAGAAGCACTTTTTTTCCCCCCCTGTTTCATAAGCAAAATGCCCTGAAAGGTTAATGAAAGTGCTAGGCAAACGCAGCCAGAATGAGCATTGTGAGGCCAAACGACAAAAACAGGAGCTGACACTTTCCAATGAGCTCAACAGTGAGAATTTGTTTAAATGTAATTAGTTGGTATAAAAAAGACCAAAAATCCCTCTGGAGCCAAGGCTCTGTGACTATTTGCTGTGCCTTTAGATTGAACCAATACATCTTGCTGCATTCAGCTATAAGAGGGGGAAAAAATCTCTCTCGTTTTCTTGGAGAGATGGATGAAGGAGCAGGAGATGGAGGCTCCTGTGGGAAATGTGAGGGGTCACACCATGATCAACCACTGCCTGTCTTGGTGACCTTGAGTGAGCCTTGAGCTCTCAGCATTGGGGTTACCAGGGCATCAAGTGTGCAACGTCAGTGTTCCCCAAGGAGAGTTGTGATGTTTCAGTATCGTTTACCAAAGGGCACTTGGCACCTACTTGGTCCCAAAAGCTGGACTTTTGAGGCCAAGTCTTTCTCTTTTCCCAACTTCTCCTCATTTTGCTCTGCCTCTCCAGGTGAAGGGATGCACCTTGATGGCTCTTTCTCATGAAGCCCGTATGGGCTGGAAAAGGCACCCAGGTTGCTGGGTTTCCCAGCTGCTGCCCAGGGGATGGTGGCTGATGGAGTCAAGGAAACAAATTGCCTTGCTGGAGCAGGTGAAAATCTTCAGGAGCAGATGGCACAATCAGTCTTCTCATTACTTTTATTGCCTTCAGAATGGGAGAAAAGTGAGTGCTTCAGGGGCTGGAGCAATCACAGGCTGACAAGCAGGTGTTGGACTCTCTCAGACACCTGGGCTGATGCCATAGCTTGGGGAGAAGGGATGTAGGGTGGCACAACACGAAGGGATGGGACAAGATGTCATGCAGCTGGTGTCCCCTCTGCCATGAAGCAGGGTTCTTCTGGCAGACCACGAGGACAGCTGTAAGCTGAGGAGGGTGGGGTGTGTTAGGAGTAACACCCACTAAAGACTTAAAGGAAAGACTCACTGGTTAGGGGGTTTTAGGGCGTTTAGGGAAGCAGTGTGCGTCCCCTTCAGCATCCCTTAACTGAGAGCACAGTGCTTTTCAGTGATGCTGTTAACTTGTGTTTCGTTAAATATTGCAATACAACCACCTCCCCCCTTTCCCTTGTACTCTTCTCCCTCTCCCCCTGAGCAGTGGCTTGAAAATTGCATGTTATGGTCAGAAATTAAAACAACTTCTTTCAGGAGCCTTTCATCATTAACTGCTCATCACTTTGGAGTGCCTCCTAAGGTCAAGAGCGTTTTGTCAGAGTCATTCATCAGCCGAGCATTTGGTGCATTATCTGGGGCTGTCTCTCAGGGAAGCCAAGGTCGAGCAGTAATACACAAGTGAGGTGACCTGCTCATTACTTTTGGAAACACTTTTTGTCAATGAATGCCCCTTAGTGAGCATTTAATTTAGATTTAATAAGGCTTCTAATGTTTGTTTAAAAGGACACTATACCTTCAAGGTATTTGTCATAATTGGAAAGAGGATATTTTCCTGCACTGTTTATTAATAAATCCCTTAGAAGATGGAAATTGCAATTAGCTCCTTCAATATCTCCTCTGGTACCCAGGAGGATGGCTCTTGCAATTGCAAGTCCCCAGTCCCAGCCTGCAACCAGAACTGGGAAACCCTGGGCTTGATCAGGGTGAGTGCACATTAGAGATGCTGCACCAGCTGCCCTCTGCATGGGGAGCTCCTCAGACCTTGGTACCTGCAGGGCTGTTTCCATCCACGAGGCATGAATATATTTATCCTGCCTTAGCCCGAGCCCTCTGTGTGCCATGTGGAGGTGCCGGGAGGGGAGGCACTGGCTCACATCTATTTTGGATCTGTCTCCACCCGCGCCTTTTCCTAGACTGCCTCCTCCCCTTTGGATGGCAGGTGTAGCGTCAGGAGATCCTTCATAGACGCCACGAATAAAACTAAGTGATCTTTGCACAAGATGTGCCGTAGAGTATCAAAGACTCATCATCTTTTTATTTCTCTTCGGATATGTAAAAACTCTCAGACTCAAGCAAATGGAAGGAAAAAAATGCTTTTATGTACTTCCTCAGCCAGCACCCCTGACAGATTTGTACACCAAAGAAACAGAGTGGTGTCAAGGCTGCAGTTAAGAACAGGACATGATTGTCAATTGAGAGCGCATGCTGGAGTACACAAGAATATAAATTTGGGAATGGTGCTGCCTGCCTGAGCCAGCAGCCTCACCTGCCTTTAGTTTCTCTGCCACCACTGCAGGTCCTGATCCTCAGCTAGGGGATACAGGGGAGAACTCCCTGAAGGGGATTTCTGCTTTCCATCAACTTGACAGCATCCCATACGAGGTCCTGCCCTGTGTCCCAAGGCAGGGAGAGGGGCTGGCATCTGCTGCTCTTTGCTAACAGAGCAAGGAAAGCTCCCAGAGCCCGATCTCCCCGTAAGGATTCGCTGTTTTAATCTGTGAGGCACCGTTGCTAAGTGAGGATCCCTGTTGTGCATTACCAGTATATAAAAAAATAAATTAGCTGATATTTAATTCTAAGATTATGTTGCAAAATAGCGGGAATTCATTCGGAAGACCATTAAGAAGAGTCTTAAAATGAAATGGGCTAATTTCAGGCTGAGCCTTTGTGTTCTGTTGTTTGGGAAGCCCTGACAGTGAGATAGATGCTGGTGGGAAGCTATTAGAAAAGGCAATTCATTTTTAATCCCATTACCCTGACACACATCAGTTTTTAAATCAAGGGATATACCCTTTCAGATGATCCTGCCGTTATTAGCTGCTGTCTGTTGCTTGGAGTGGGGGGGGCATAGGGAGAGAACAGGTAGAATTAATTCTAAATATATGCTATAATGTTAGATTGATTTCTTTATTAGCACCTTTTATAGTCGGTTCTCTTCATCGAAGAGCTCTGTCATATCTCCTGCTGACATAAAAAGATAGCCATGATGTTTTAAAATGAAGCCAATAAATGTAGAAATTTGTGAATGTGGGATATTTAATGGCAAATCGTTATATATGGTCCACCAAATTGGGGAAGCAGAGACTGAATTAAGCCTCCAGAGATCTGACATCTTATTTGCAAGATAAAAAGCACAAGCAGAGGCCTGGGTTGGGGACTGATGAATAATTCTGAGGTTTTACGCTACCCTTCCTGGGTTTATAATAGTTCCTTCAATCGCAGTCTGCATTGTTTTAAATTGATGAATAACTACCGAATTTCACAGGCTCTTTCCAGTACAGGCACTGCTGTTGGTTTTAACCTTCCTCCTCCGCTGCTTTCAGCAAAGCACAACAAAAATGTCTCGCAGAGGAGCTTGTATCCATCCAACATCCCAATGGTGGAAAAAGCACACTCGATTTATTGGCAACACCTGTGTATTTTACTGCTCACCTAAGATTATCATTAATATTATTTCATCACCTCTAGAGCTTCAAAACCTCTGTCACGCTATCAAATGTGTGACAAACTGGGAGCAAGCACAATTTTAAGTTTTTTTTCCCCCTCAGAAAATTCCAGCATTGCCACGTTCTGGCGTTATCATAACTCAACTGATTGTCTGAAACACAGATCTGAATTTCAGAAGCCTGGGAATGTTTCATTTGCTATATTTTCACTAAAGCATTTTGTTGCTCTGAACCTGAAAGGTTTTGGAGCAGTTGATTAAATTGCCCTGCTGTCACCTGCCTCTGAATTGGTGCAGGATTGGTTTTGTGTTGAAAACCAACATTTCCCTCCACCCACAGGTTCCTGCCACCCTGGTGTGTCGGGGGCCCTGAGGCATTTGTCATCCTTCCACCTGTTTGCATTCCATTCCTCTCTTATGTGTTTATGGGGATGGCAATTTCCTTGGGAACATCACTGCAGTGACTGTCCCCCATGGCTCTGGTGGGGTGGGAGCAGGAGGATGCTCGTGCATTGCCTGCTTGGGCAAAGAGAGTGCTGGAGAGTTGGCCTCGGCTCAGGATGAGCAGCATAAGGGCAGATTAGCTCAGCCTCTGACCCTGGAGCTGCCCTCCCTGGTGGCATCACCCCTTGGTGATGGGCTTGGGCTAAACGCCTCATTCAAGGAGCTGGGGATTGGGGTTGGGATGCTGGGGGCTCAAAACTACCCTGCAGGTTGGCAGTGGGGAACGACCAGTCCCCTCATCCTCCTCCTCAGCTACTTTTTGGCTCTTGTGTCCATTCCTGAGCCCTCTGGGACGAACAACCCCCTTCTGCTTGGGTGGCAGGTATCCCACAGGGGCTCCCTTCCCTTGGGGGTGCAGGTTAGGGGCCCTTCTGAGAGACAGGGGAGAAGGTGTGCCCCAGCGCCATCCGTGGTCCATCACACAAGGCAGATGGCATGTGCCAAGGAAATTTTGGGGGTGAGAGGGAGCTGGAAATGGAGAGCTCACCAGTGGCCGGACCACCCCTGCTGTGGTTTGCAACCAGTGTACTCACCACGTAAATTAGTGTCCTTACGGAGCTGCAACTTGTGTCCCAGTTTTAATTCTGAAAACTAGCAGCAGCAGAGCAGGGAAGGGCATTCATCATCTTGAGCAATGGATTTCCTATGACTAATATACTCGCTGCTGCATTCTTCAAGGGCAGTGTCTTGACTCTGCCTCCTCTCTCCCTCCCCCAGAGGCGCGGAGGAGCGTGGCTCTCCAGAGCTAATGGCAGCAAAACGCTTCACGTGGAGGGGAAATTGCAATCGTGTGCCTTCCCAGCAGACGTGAGTGCAGCAGTTGCAATAAAGCTCCGTGTGCTGCTTGTGTTCCTCCGATCATCCGAGCAAGAGGCAGACCGCACGGGGATGGAGAAATAGGTTAACGGCTTCCATGTGTTGTAGGGTTATGGTCTGGAGGTGGATGGGGACCCAGAGAATGGGCTTTCTGTCAGCTCTAAATCACAAGCTAGCAGGGAGGATTGCTTCAGCAGGAGCGAAATTGAGCTCTGCATGGTTATTGCGGTAAAAACATCCCTTCCATTAAAGCCAGATGCCTCCTCAAACAAACCAGTGGGGAGAAAATGGGATGTAACATCCCCTTGGAGCAGCAGGAGAGCGGTGAGAGGCAGCAGCTCGAGCCCCAGCTGGGACAGCCACCTGCAGCCCAGCGCCTCCACGCTGTGCTCATGCCCTTAGAGGCACGCAGGCATTAGGGCCGTGTTTGAGCAGCACGGGGAAGGGGTTTCACCCAGCCCCAGGTGAGCAGAAGCAGCAAGCGGGTGGGCAATGGGGGGCACAGGACTGGGGGCAGCAGCACTGGGGTGTAGCTCTGCCTCTGCTGGGCTTGCCCAAATGGTTTCATTTATCTGCCTCTCGTTTCCACCCCGTGTAAAACCCGAGGACGCGGAGACTCCACGAGACACGGGGAAAATGAATTATTATTTGCAAAGGGCTGCAGGTGCTTTGGGTGAAAGAGAATGTTGTAATTGCAAAGCAATGCTATTAAGTGGCAAATTGGATGAAACCTTTCACTAAATTAACTGTGTTTCAAAACGCTGCATTTGCAAAGGCTGTTCCTTTGTAAAATGAATCCACTTTTTCATGTTTCTTGCTTTAATCCTAGTTCTTAAAGAAGATTTACAGTCTCATCAAGTCCTGAGAGTCAATGTTAAATTATTGTAATTTATTCCACATTATGTTACGTTATTTTTTGCCACATATGGTATGTTACATTAATTTAGCTAATGTATGCTAATTTTGTGCTAAATTTATGTCATGAGTCTCAGATAGTATGGAGATTGATGCCTTAGAAATTAATGTAATAATAGTAATAATTAATAGTAATAATATGAAAACTTTGGTTTTGCTGTGTTGGAACACCTGAATACTCAAGCAGAGTTTATTGCAGCTTTGTCGCGTGCTACCCCAGCTACTCGGAGAGAAAAGAAAGAGATCTTGTCTCTTCTTTATAGGGTCGTATATCAGTCCCATAAAACACAATCCCAATTCTTGATAGCCCCATTGCAGCAAAAATTGTTAGTCTCTGTGGCATAGGACCTCTGAGCACCGTAATCTTTTATGCCTGTAAACTCCACAACAGCTGGACGTTAAATCTCTGGATTAATTCAACAAGTTTCCCCCTGCCCAGTGACAGGAGGCTTCTTTCCCTGGAGCACGGTGTGCAACGGCAGGGCAGGGATCTGCCTCGCTTGCCGCATTGCCAGAGCCTTGCTTCTCAGCTTGCCACCAGATTCAGCTTTTGCTGATTATTTTTGCTGTAAGCTTCACCCTCTGCAGCGTGGGAAACCCCCTTGGCACCCTTTTCCCCACGCTTGCAGCCCTCCTCATTCACAAGATGGGCTGGGATTTTAGATGAGAGCAACGTCACCAGTAATTCATGGGGAGAGCTCTTCAAGGCTCCGCTCTTCCCTAACAGACCACCTGGGATGAAACACTGAACATGCACCAGGCTCTTCCTTCACCCCTGAAATGTCTGATCCCCTATACCAGGAGCTGTGAAAACTTACAATATTACAAATATTACAAAGCATGCAACAGCCTCTGAGGTCAAACAGAGGGAGGTGACATGCCCAGGCTGTGACACAGCCCAAACTGTGTTTTCTGGTCAAAATTCCCTTTGTGTAAATTTTCCTATGAAATCTGTCCTGCATTTATGGAGTTATTAGTGTGCGCCTTAATTACAACAGGCTTTGATTAAAGGCATGGACCATAAAAGCAGATTAATGTTCCCCTGACTATAAGCTACACGGGACTGTGTGTGCACTAATTCAAAATCCATTGTCTCAGGAAAAATCAATCCTGTACCTTCCTGTGGGCAGAGCCCGGCCCCACCCCGTAATCTCCTGTCTCTTCACTGTGCTGAATGCATATGAGCTCAGAAAAATTCCCTCTGTTGCTCTAAGCCTTGCTGTTGTTATTATTTCAGAGTATTTAATCTCTGGGAAAACAAATATGAAATCAGTGTCAAGCCATTTGTCCTGCTTCGGTGGCTGAAACGCAGTTATTACCAAGAGCGGAGGAGGAACTCAGGATCACGAAGTGGAAATGCCTTTGGGGCAGTGAAAATGCTAGCAAAACCCACTGCTGTAGTGGGAACCCCACGGAGCCCCCGGGCAGAGGGGTGCCCACCCAGCAGGGTGAGAAGCGGCGGAGATTTAGGGCTGCTGCAGGAGAGCCCAGAATGAGCTGAGCTCTGCCCTGAGCTCCTCATCCCTGCACCCTACACAGCACGTTGAGGATGGGGAGGGATGAGCTTCCTGACATCAAGTTGGTGGGCTTTTTGGGATGCTCAAACTGGAGCCCCCCCAGCCAGGGCTGGCTCCCCTGCACCTACCCAAAGTCTGTGCCAAGCCAGCGACATCGCCCTTCAGTCTCGGGTCAGGGACCTGCTGGGGCCTCTAACGCACGTCCCTTTGTTTTTCTGCAGAAGGGAAACAGCTTTTGTTCCAAATGTGATATTTGCAAACTATTGGAAATCTGTTTCCTCAACCCCCAGGCTGATGTGAATAATGGATTTTGAAAATTTGGTGCAGACAACACAGCCGTGCGGGATGATGAAGCAAGCAATATAGCTTGGCCCGAGGCCCGTTTCTCAGTAGCCCTGCAGAAACTTGCCTGGTGACAATGACAGAGATTTTATAAATGAAGCTATTTGGTATTGGCAGGCAGTCAGGCTCCGTCATGGAGGAAAATTAGACTCCCTTTAGACACAGTCCTCTCTGTTGTACAACGTTCCCTGACAAAATATTACTTGAAATACGTGCGTAGATGCGCCGTATCCTTGCAGAATTGTCTCACCTTTTGATCCGCCTCGGTTTGGGGTTGAGCACACTGCGAGCACCCAGAGGTGCCTCCTGGTTTCTCTCTGATATGGGCACTGTGTCCTGCGGTGGGGCTGCAGGGATGCTGTCATGGGATGCTGGGGGTTGGCCTCTGCCTACAGTTTTCAGGTTATTTCTGATAAAGAAACCCCCCAGAAGAAATTTGTCTTTGCTTTACAGCAGTAAGGACCAGAAGAAAGGGCCCTTGAACTAAAAAGTCCATGAGCAGGTTAAATTTTCTAAGCCTTGGCCAGTGCCCCAGAATGTGCATGGCCAACTTGGAGAGACGAAGCCCTCTCCGTGCTTGCTTTTCGATGCAGATTTAGGCAATGACAACGCAGCCTCGCGTCAAACCCTCCTGCTCCCCCGGGTGCTACTCTGGGAGGCTGCCAGGCAGAGGAGGGAGCTCGAAGGAGCCCTTGCTTTTGGAGGAACCAGCTCCCACCTTCGCTTCGCTGTGCTTGCTGGCAAGCCCTCTGATGGAAATGGATTTCAGCTCCTCCTGCCAGATGGTGATGTGAACCAAGGGCTGCAGACAGAGATCGCCTCCAGGCTGAATTTAAAATGCCTCGGTACATTTTATTTTTGTCCAAGATGCCTTTTAGGAGCAGCAGCAGTGAGCCGTCCTGCAAGCTGTCCCTAGGATGTGCAAGGGGCTCCTCCAGCAGCGTCTTTTGCTGCGGCAGCCACTAGCCATAAGCCACCCGGGTGGCTTAAATGCTCTCAGGGAGCAAATGTCCCCTTTTTGAGAAGACATCTGCTGCTGCCACCACAGGCTGAGGGGATGAGGACCGACCCTCTATCTCCACCCAAGTTTAGCACAGCTAAACAGCACTGTGAGTGCCAGCAGGAACCAGAGCATCCTTGATCTCCCTGGAAATATCCAGCATCTCGCAGCTTGTGCAGTCCGAAGCCAGCCTCATGGGAGGGCTGGGAATGGGTTAATATCTACAGGGTTTGTCCTGCTAAATCGTGCTTCCAATCTGTGTCTTCTTGGAGAGCCCTGCCTGTAACGACCGGTCTGATACCTCGGGAGGGGTGTGTTTGTCCTCAGCAGCACTCAAGGTAAAGGGACGTTTATGCAAAGCAGCGAGCTGGTGTTTACTCACAATTTTCTCTATTCCCCACTCTACCGCAGGTGATGTTTGCTCTTGAGCAAAAGTTCTGTCTGATCTCCCATCCCGCCATGAAGTCATGCTCCTGCATTTATGACATCAGTCGTTGCTATGGCTGCAGTGTCAAAAATTCCTCTTTTATGGCTGTTTAAAGGGAATTATTCAGTACTTTCCAGATCAAAAGCACTGGGATCTTGGGATGTGCCTCTGAGCTGCAAAGAAACTCGAACAAAGCCAAAAATAGCAATATTTGGATAAACTGGATGACATCCAGATTGTCCTGTTCTCGTTTTGATGTCAACATTATTCACTGCCTTTTTTAAGCGGCAGGGAGCTAATTCTGTGCCTGGGATGCATCTTCCCAGGAGCTCTCCGTGCCGCGAGGCACAGCCTTGGCAGGCAGCTGCCTCAGCACAGGTTGGATTCAGCCTCCTGCCCTTGCCAGCAGAGCTGTGGGGGCAGCTGCAAAGGCACAGGCACAGGTTTTGGTGTGAATCCTGCCTCTGCTCCATCTATTGGCATCAGCCAAGGTCAGCCACGGGCTCAAAAGCTGGGAGAGAAAAGGAAAGGTGCATGAAGATGCCCATGTGTGTGCTACTGGCATGTGGGCCTCCTTTTTTTTGAGCTAAAAATACTGAAGTGCAGTGGTAAAGCAGTTCATTTGTCTCATACCTGCTCTAAAAGGACTCTGCTTTTTCCAATTTCTCTCTCACCATCCATCAAAGCTCAGCACAGGATCGGTCCCTTGGCTCCTCCAGCCTTGCTCTTGGCACCTGGCTGGCCATCGGTCAGAGGCCTCCCAGTGGAAGCCAGGGTACCAAAAAACAGAGAAATGAATGGGGGGAACATGTGCTCTGCCACTGGCCCCATGTCCCCAAAAGTGGATCAGGTGCAGCCGTGTTTCAGTGACTTCCCTGGAGGTCTCCTCCAAGAAGGGGAGAGGACTGCACATGGCACTAATTAGGAGGATAAATGTCCTATTGGTGACGTGACGCCCGGCACCATCAATACTCATCAGGCAGAACACATCCCCATGCTCCTGCTTCCTCCAACCCCACTACTCATCCTCAGCCGCCCCTCCAAGAAAAGGCATCAGATATTTCCAGTCGATGTGGCTAAGGAAGACGAAAGCCAATGGGATGGGGACCTCACAGCTCTCCTGAGCTCCCGCCCCATCGATGCCATCTGACTCTCACATCAATGCCAGCGGGTTCTCAAAAGAAGCTGGGGTGTTTCAGAAATACAATACCGTGCATCAGCATGGCACCATAGTGATTTTTTTTTATAGTAATCAAAAGGTTTTCATAAGTGAAGAGTAATTTCCTACAAGAATAAACCTTTTCCGATAGGAAAATACAAAGTGTGGGAGATGGGGTGGTTTTGTGTGTGTTGTTTTCAAAGGCAAAATGTCGGGATTACAACTCATCATCAAAAATAGGGAGCTGTTTGGAGGCTGTGAGAAAATTGCCATCTCTTATCGAATATCTTATTTACTTGCAAAGTAAGAAGAGAGTAAATAAGAAGCTCTGCAAAATATCTGCATCTCTGGCAATTTTCTTGTGTGCAATCACATACGCCGCCTACGGTCTCTGCAATAAATTGTAATCCCAGTCGTTTGCTTCCTCTCCTTATGTACATACATTATATTTTTGCTCAGCAATTTTGACTTCCACCCACTTTTGTTGATGGGTGGAAGGAGGGGGAACGGGGAGTAAAAAATGTTGCCATATTTTCAGCATGATAAATTACAATTGATATTTTATTTCTAGCCGGAGTGCCCAATGATAAATAACCGTGTTTGTTCCTATCCCCCCAAGGTGGCCAATGGGCATCCGAGTACTTTATTTCAAATTTCACTGCGAACAAGGTCTGTGACATTTTCAAGGCGAAGCACAAACACGGGGGCGAGTGGAGCCGGGAGGAAGGCGCAGTCCTGCAGGACTGCTGCGGGAAGCAAACAATGGGCTGCTATTGAGCGTTGACTTGGGTTGCTGCGCCGTTGTTGTTTTTTTTCCCTATTCAATCAACCATGTCTTATAGATTATTAAAGTGACTTTCTGTCAGGGGAGACTAAAGAGGATTCATCATTATCGGCTGAATTCGGGGCCGTTCTTTCCCACGTGAGTACAAGAAGTGGAAGCAGAGCTGCTGGGGCTGGGCTGGCTGCTGCATCACCCCATCCTGGAGCACACCAGCCTCTGGGACTCCCCTGGGAAGTCTTTTATGCATGACCAAGGAGCAAACTCCTCTTTTTGCACCTGTGTGTAACCAGCAGGAGGTCAGTTCACAAGCTATTTTTGCAGGGTCTTGTTT